TACCCCCCCCACCAAAAGTTGATCTTTTTCGTTTTTTTTTTGCGTGGGGGGGTGGGGCAGGGGATGCGCCGCCACGTGGCGCCGCCAGAATCTTCAAACCCCCTTCCCTGCAGCCGCCACGTGTCCGCGAATTCGCGCGTCCGCGCGGACACGTCCGCGGGCTTCGCGGCCGCGGACTTGGCCGCGCCTGTCCGCCGCCGGGGGGGATTCATAGATGGTTTGTAGGGGCAGTGAGGAAAATTGGGAACTGCACATACAAACTAATAAGGAGGAGGGCTGCAAGATTCATTTGGAAACCGTTTTCCGGAGATCAGGAATCCTTTATCTCGAAGGTGGCATGGGAAATGCTATGCCTACCAAGAGAGGAAGGGGGCCTTGGACTGACAGATCCACAGAAACAGAACGAGGCAATGCTAGTCAAGTGGATAGTATGAGCTTGTTTAGAAGACCCACCTCCGGACTGGGTGCAGTTGGTTGAAAGAACACTCGCAGCTGAGTGGAACCTCTCAAGACCAGAGGACATATGGACGTGCCTGCTGCTCTACTCCTATCAACGCAGAGGGGTCAGGTCCCCACTGTGGGCTGCCATTGTTCAGGCTTGGAAGAAGTTGAGTCCGAATGTATGGGTTACTCCTACAACAAAAGCCGAAGTGTTGGCTCAATCCATATTTGAAAATCCGAACATCAGAACGGTCAATGGATCATGGTTCAAGGCAGATTCACACAACAGGAGCTTTGGCAGATCGTGGATAGAGAAGGGAGTGCTCAGGATCAGGGACATATGGGATAGCTTTGCAGAGAACTAGATGACAAGCGAGGAACTGAAAACGAAGCTGGGACAGCTACAGGAAGTACAGGAAAGGCTTGCAGCAGTAATAGAAGCAATTCCGGAGGAATGGAAGATCTTGTTGTCTCCAGAATCGGTGAACCCGCCAAGCACCTGGTATACTCAACAAGAAGAGCAAGGGTTCAGCCTCTGGGAGCTCAAACAGACACAGTCAGATGGGAAAAGGATCTTCCAGAAATGGAATCACCAAAACAAGAAAAAGCTGGAGGTAGCAGAGCCAGGGTCTCAACCAAGGCTGGGTTTGGCCTTGTCCCAAGCCAGAGTGATACCGCGGGACCAGGAGGGAACAAGAGCAATGGCATTGGTAGCTAATGGGAAGCCAATAGCAGAGATGAAACTGGGCCCGAGAATGTGGGAGTGGCGGGCTATGGGAAGGTGAGGGGAGAACGTCTGTCCGTTTAACTACACTCAGAGAATAGGGTACAAGAGCCTGATTCCAGTGAAACATCCAGAAGTGGTGGCGAGGACAAGATGGTCGCAACTATTGGCTATGGACCCAGCACAGATTAGCAAAGCCCTCAAATGCTGTTGGGAACACCCGAAAGAGATCCCATGCCAAAGACAAGCATCAACGTTGTGGCTGGTGTCAATGGTGGCGACCCTCTCCGCGGTGTGGCTGGCGGAAAGGGGAATGAAAGGTAATCTGAAATGCATAAGGTGTGATTGGGCTTTTGAATCCACGATTCATTTGTGGTGGGATTGTCCAGCCTCTCGCAGGATTTGGGTCTGGTGGATCAGATTCTGGGAGAGCTGCACCAACGGAGCGTTTGCATGGATGAAAGAATGGTGTCTGTTGGGTGGAATACATGAAGGACATAGTAAGTCAAAGGGATGGGGCTACGTAGCGCAAGTTACAAGGGCGGTGGGGTTCACAGTGATTTGGCAGGAGAGGAATGACAGAGTGTTCAAGTCCAAGGAGTGGTCTAACCAACTGATCAGAAGAACATTCAAACAACTCCTTCGAAGAGCAATTTTGGCGGACTTGAGGAGAAGAGTCCGTAAGTCCAGGAACAGAACATCAGGCCTGAAGTGGTTCAAGGAAACGTAGTGCCAGAGCGAGCGGATGGCGAGGATTGAAGGGGAGAGACTGGAGTTAGGCCAGTGGTTAAGTAGCAAGTAGGTAGAATAAGACAGAAATCATGGGCACTCGGATGATGAGGTTGGGCGGTCGCAGGAGACAGGCAGAGGGAGCTTGAAAGAGGAGGGAGTGCTAAATCAGTTTACACCGAGATAGGTGGAATAGGGAAGGAGCGGGCAGGAATTAGCGATAGGTAAAATGGATTTTAAATTTCCTTGTTTCTTCATGGATTGTGTGGCGTTTTAAGGCCGTGATGGCAAACTTTTCTTCTTTTTTTCCTTTTTTTGCTCAGAGCAAGGCCGACAGGGCAAAGGTCCAGGGACCGAGTTTGTTCCTAGTCTATTTCCTAGCTCTGAAGTGCAAAGCTAAGCTGACTGATGCTGTCAGATACATTTCCGGGTGGAATTGTGGGTCCCCGGCCCAATAATTTGCATTGAAAGATGATTTGTGCCTTTAAAAAAAGAAAAAAAAGAAAAAAAGAATTGGAGATTAAAAAGAAAAAAAGAAAAAGAAAAGTGTGCGAATCAACGAACCATGTCACCTGTGTGGTTTTGTGACCTGATTCATATGAAGTCAGCAATGCACAAAATACTCCCAGTGGGCACTGGGCTCCCATTGGAGTTATTGGGGGAGATCAGGAGAATGGAGAAGGAGAAAGAGGGATGAGGAGCGAGAGGAAGACGAAATGGTGGATGCTGAGGAAGTGGAGAATGAGGAGGAGGAGGAGGAGGAGGAGGATGCAGAGAATGTGGAGGATGATGAGAACAGGAGGAGGAGGAGCATGAGGGAGAGGACAGGGAGCAGAAAGAGGAGAAAGAGGTGGACGAGAATGGGAGGGAGGAGGAGTAGAGGAGGAGGGAGAGGAGGTGGGGTAGAAACAGGAGAAGGAGGAGGAGCAAGAGAAAAAGGAGGTGGAGGGAAAAGAGCAGGAAGAGGAGGCGGGGTGTGGAGAAAGAGGAGGAGGAGGAAGGGGGGAAAGAGGAAGAGGTGGAGAATGAAAGGAGGAGGAGGAGGAGAGAGGAGGACTAGAATGGGGAGAAAAGAAGGAGAATGAGGAGGGGGAGGAGCAAGAGAGAACGGAGGGGAGGAGAAAGAGGAGAACCAGAGTGTGGAGAACGAGGAGTAGCGGCCGAAAGAGGAGGAGGGGGAGGAGAAAGGACAGAGAGGAGAAAGAGGAGGAGGAGGTAGGAACGACTCACTGGTAGGTTGTACTTCTGTCGAAGTCTTGAGCGCACGCCGCAGGTATAGAGGGATATGCATGATGCCAATCCGCAGGACATAAAGAGAGTGAAAATGCAGCAAGGGCCGCCACAGCCGGTCCCATCCAGCAATTCTGAGTTCTGTTTCAAAGTATTTTTCAGAAACAAAAAAAAATACACAATGTCATCTGAACCATTAGTCAGAGGTCAAAGTCAAACGAGAGATAGTCAAGAGCCATAATTTCTGAGATCTGAACACTAACAAAAAAAAAAAGGATGTAAAAGGAAGAGAAAGATAAAACGGAATAAAGAAAAAGAAAACGGGGAAAAAAATTGCCATCATCCTCTGAGGCTCTGAGTCATCTGATCCATAGGATCAGTTGAATCAACTTGAATGTAATATTATACTATACATTTGTTTATAATTATATATATAAGTGTTCAGTCTCCAGATGAGTGGGTGAAACTCCGACGAAACAGTTGGCCACAGCCCTCCCCCTCTGCCTACGGTTTACCGGGCAGCTCTGTCTGACTATATATATATATATATCGTCAAATAGAACTGCCCGGTAAACCGTAGGCAGAGAGGGAGAAGAGGACAACAAACGAGGGGCTGTGACAAACTGTTTCGTCGGAGTTTCACCGACTCATCAGGAGGCTGAACCCTCAACAGTCTGTAGAATCCCCTCACTGATTACACTGTAAGTGATAATCCACCTTAACCAAAATCAAAGTAGACTATCACTCACCCACACCAGATGGAAAACTCTACAGACTGTCGGTTCACACCCCATCACAAGCCAACAAAACACCCACGAAACAAAGAAAGGTCTGTCACAGCCAAAAAATACACTCCAGACACGCCGCTGGCACTAGAGGCACAGCATGGCCGCGTAGTGACGGCCCCGACCACTGCCGCTCGACCTGACCGGAGAAAACCGTAGCAGGAATATATATATATATATATATATATATAATATATATATATATAATATATATAATATATATATATATAATATATCGTATGGCAGCTATATATATATATATATATATTGTCACAGAACTATTGACTAAGAGCGTAAGCACGTGAAGTTGGAGAAGAAATAAGATGAGCGAAGAAAAGAAAAATGAAAGGACAGACAGGCAAAGTTACAGACAAACCAGAATGACACAAAACAGTGTCCTCTTATTCTTTGTTTCACAGTATTATTATTTCTTTCAGTGTTTTACAAAAAAAAAAAAAAAACACTGAATCGAAGGATAAAAATAAAAAACAAAGACACATTGAAATCATTCAGTTTCTCAGTCTTCTTAACGCCTCCTCCACTATGCCTCTAACGTACATGGCTCGCCACGTTGATGAAGTTGAGCGCGAGCTGCCCCCATCCCGGTATGCCATAACAGCCCACTTGCACGCTATGGGGAAGAGGCAGAGTGAAGGAAGAGGTGTTAAACACAAGGAAGAGAGGAGCAGAAAAGGAAAACCGATAGGCAGAGGGAGAAAAAAAAAAAAAAGGTGACCCAAACATCTTTTTTCTTTCACTGCATTCTTCTTTCTTTCACAGTTTTGCAGTTTTGGTGAAGAGTCTACCACGTTCGCTTTTCAGCGCACCTGCACTTCCTTCTTCGTTTTTCATCTTTATTTTCACCCTTCGGACTTTTATTTTGAGGGTGTTAGGGTGCAGGGTACAAACAAAGTAAGATGACACAAACTTATGTTCTTCTTTTACTGCATTCTTCACAGTTTTGCAGTTTTAGTGAAGGGTTCTCCACCTTTGCACATTCTTGTACACTCTTTTCAGCGCACTTGCACACTTTTGTCTGGTTGCAAGATACGTCTAAGTAAGACCCTCACGACAGATAGGACAATTGTCATAAGGATGCGGGCGATGGTAGCAGCCCTCCTGCTAATCTACAGGACGAAAACCATTCAGGTAAGCAACTTTGTCACAGCAGGAGCCAGGGCGGCTAGCATTAACCATGCCTCTGAAGCATGCACGACAGAGGGCATGCCGGTTGCAGGCCATGACGATTGTGGGGCGTTCACCATCACAGTTAAGTGCACATTCACTATAGCGCCCGTAGGCACAGATGGGACATACTGCATCTGGATGTAGAGGATGTTCGCAATCCAGATACAGGTGGCATCCCTGCCGACAGCGGGCCCGAAAAATTATACGGTTGTAGTGATGTCGACAAAGTCGATGTTTTCCACAACCAAGTGTAACTGTGTCAGTGATCTCACAAAGAAGGAGGTCACAAGGTGTTAATGCAGCATGTGGGGGAATGAAGACTTAAGCAGGCATGGTGACAGACATGGAGGTAGGTATGGAGACAGACACAGAAACGGGCATGGAGACAGATGTGGAGGCAGGCACAGAGACAGGTGCAGAGGCGGGGACGGAAGTACACGTAGTACCCATAGAGTCAGTAATCTGGAAGGAGACAGACACAGAAACAGGCACAGAGACAGGTACGGAGGCAGGCACAGAGATAGGCGTAGAGGCGAGCATGGAAGTACACGAGGTACCCATGGGGTCAATGACCTGGAACAGTTGCAGGTTAGGGTAATTACGCACGAGGTCACAGATGGCAGTAATAGTTTGCACCATAGCACCGCCATTCCATAATTCCCAAGAACCGGAGGCACGGGCAAGAGCGGTGTAGTGGCCAGGAGTATGTAGAATATAGGCACAAACGTGCGAACAGTGGTTCGGGTTGCCACCCGAAGGGGCACGCTGCATATCAAGTCGGCGCCTTATCAAAGCAGTCTCCAAAACAGGAACATTGAATCCCCCATGTCGAGTGTCACCTGTCAATTACTATCCTGTGGGGGATGCAAAGTCGGGTTATCGCCATATAACTCACGTTCTTGAACATCAAGATCGGAAGCAATGGCCAAGAAATCAGAGTGAGTATATGGTTCCCGACGATAGGCTTGCAGGCAGACGTTAGTAGCAGCGAGACCACACAGATTCGGTGGAGGCCAGTCAGGTGGATTTTCTACAGAATCTCCTACCGTCCCCCTGCCAAGTTCATCCTCAGATAGCCCCTCGCCATCATCCCTCCTGTTTTGTGTTTGCCGCGTTGCAGAAAGGTCTGCAGTCGAAGAGCGTTGCAGGCGTGGTAAGAATGCTTGGGGCGGCAAAAGACGAGGACGGGATGTTGGGGAGGGCCGTGGTGGAGAGAGTGAACGGGTTTTTCTTCATCCAAGAACAGAGATGGAGGCAAGGGGAGTAAGCTGAGGTTGGGAAGTAGGTCGAAATCGGCGTCTAGGACGGCGAAGCAGGCTTTCTGCAGAGGCATAACATGATGACGGAGTCTGTGTGGACGAAGTGGTTTGTGGATTAGGAAGAAGGGTAACGGATGGAGACAAAACCAGGGGAGGTAGGAGTGGTGAAGAAAGGGGTGGTAGAGTTGTCGGAAGGTGGGTAACAGACGGCGATAAAACCAAAGGAAATATAGGTGGTGAAGATGGGGGGGATGAAGTTAGGGGTGGTGAAGTGGCTGAAGCAGAGACAGGGGGGGCAGTCGTAGGTGAGACCCGAAGAGGGGACTCTACAGGTGGTAATGCAGGCATGGCCATGGATGCCATGGAGGAACGCACCGAGACCAAGGGGGACAAAGCAGCTGCGGTGGTCACGGATGCCATGGAGGAACACACCAGGACCAAGGGCGACATAACAGTTGCGGTGGCACCGGATGTCATGGAGGAACACATCGAGACCAAGGGCGACACAACAGTTGCGGGTCGAGTTGCTCCCGCGGAATAAATCGTAGAAGCAACCAAGGCCAATGAGGAAGAGGATAGGGGTTACTATGACTGATGAGGACGCAGGTGCGGTAGACGCAAGAAATGAAGAAGAGGCTGTGATAGGTGTGACGGGCGCCGATAATGAAGAAGGGGTTGTTACAGGCGTAGTCCGAGGACAGTGTGTGGATACCCAAGAAAGCGGGTGATGAATAGACCATCGAAGCATGTTGCGGAACCAGCTGGAGAGGCATGTCACGTGCGCAGGGTACCTGTGTTGACGTTTACGAATATAGGAAGTTCATCCTTTCACAAGCGTTGTTGGAGAGTGCCTGCGAAAAAGCATGCGGTGTGTGAGCATCGCTGCTGCAGTTTTGAAATCATACCAGTTGTTGCAGACATACTCAAACCTAGTAAGCTGGCCTGTAAACACTCCCGCCGGCTGGTGTGCAGGGACGTTAGACGTAGCACTAGGATAACGAATAACAGGGAAATTTCATTCAGCTTCTTTGTCAAAGACACTCATACGCAAGGAACCGTCAGGGCGGACTTGGAGGCGTGCACCTAAGAATGTGCAAGAGCCATCAGGTGTTGTGGTCTCCTTTTATTCGAGGCCATAGTGTTCTGATGGTGGTGGCAGATGTCCCCATGAGAGAACATCATCGATCAAGCGGTATGTGAACGCATACCATTGAGCTGCTCAAAGATCACACTGCTGGAGGTCATCAACAAATCGAGCCTCATCCCAATACAATGTCAAATTAGCCATCTCCGGACCAGAATTAGTCCCCATCGGGATGCCAATCAGTTGATGTCGCAAGGTGTTGTCCGCTGCATAAAGATACGTGTTTGTCACAATGAAATGGAGATGTTCAAGAATTTGGGAAACGGTCAAGGTGTTTGGTCCGGTATCAACTGTCCACTCCCCTTGACGAGGCCCTTTAACAATCATGTTAAGGGTAGGAGGATGTGTGCGCCCTTGTGCGTGTTGTTGTAAGGCATATGCTTCCTCAACCGCTTTTGATATATTATGACAAATACGGTCATGAGGAAGATTGGTATACATAGTTGTGAAATCAATATATATATATATATATATAGTGTATATATAAATATATATATATATATCCTACCCCTTAAGCAGGATTGGCTGTGGGGCGAAGGTCCATGATCTGCTGCTCGCCAGATTCGGATTGAACAGTTGAAGTTTTGGTGAGGGCCGACGGATGAAGGTGATAGAGGGCGAGAGAGTGTGCCCTCGGGGCGGGGCACACGGCGGGCATTGATGTGGATAAATATCTCGAACCACCGTTCGATAAAAATCGCCCATCGTTTTCGTTTCTTTGTTTTTTTTTTTAATTGTCAATTTGCCTTTTTTTGTTGTTGTCTG